AGGAATGCCTATGGCTACATCTTCTCTTCCCACAAAAACTACAGGTGCCTGAGGGAGAAAAGTTCTAATTGGACAGGGGGTGGAAAAAAGAAATCCCCCAAACTATAAAACTGAAGTTCTGAAAGAAGAACTGACATTTTCTCAACCAGGGAAAAAAGTAACTGTCACGAGTTAGTTGTGGCTGCAACATGTATAAACTTCTGTTTTTACATGCAGTTCTCTACTGATGTCCTCAGAGATTTATAGCCATCTTAAAAGTCCTTTTTTGTTCTCTGCATTTTACAAACGCTTCCCATGATGGTAAAAAAGAAAAATATATTGGAGAGAGAGGCAAAGAAAAACTTTGCTATTTTTGCAAGCTCTGTTTGAAAGGAGTAAGAAGTAACATAAAGGAAAACCTGTATAACTTTGGCTTCATTCTTAAGACTAAAATAATGCATTAATTTCTCATATTGGAAGACTCTTACTTCCTGTGTCATTTGTATTTAAAGGACATTTAATATAGAATACTCTATTCAAACCTGAGATCATCCTCAGGTGAAAAATTTGGTCCCGTGGTGAATGGAGTTAAATCCAGCTGGCGGCCAGACACAAGTGGTGTCCCCCAGGGCTCAGTTTTGGGTCCGGTCTTGTTTAACATCTTTATCAATGATCTGGATGAGGGGATGGAGTGCTCCCTCAGTAAGTGTGCAGATGACACTAAGTGGGGTGGGAGGGTTGATCTGCTTGAGGGTAGGAAGGCTCTGCAGAGGGATCTGCACAGACCGGATCAATGGGCCAAGGCCGACTGTATGAGGTTTCCACAAGGCCAAGTGCCGGGTCCTGCACTCGGGTCACAACAACCCCATGCAACACTACAGGCTTAGGGAAGGGTGGCTGGAAAGCTCTACAGTGGAAAAGGGCCTTGGGGTGTTGGTTGACAGCTGACTGAACATGAGTCCCACACTGAAGTGTTTGGAAATAACATAGAATATGTTTTCTTGTTATAGTTGATGTAAATCACCTGGTTAGATGGTCACTATCTCAAAATATAATGACTTGAATTTGGCTTCCTGAAAATACATGTGAAAAGTGAGGAATCAGACCGTATTTACAAATGCAGCCTGCCTCATTTGAGAGCAGGCAGGAGGAAAAGTCATTACAAATAAACATTTCAACATGAACTGCTGCAAATTTCACATGTAATATCACATATGATATATTAAATGAGACATCTGGCAACACAAAAAAAAAAAAAGAAAAATGCTATGAAGACACAGGAAAGCGAGTGTTGCCCCTGTACACAGTATTGTTAAGATTACTGTTGAAAGACTGTGTCAAATTCTGTCTACTTACTTCAGAAAATGTGAAAATATTTGGAAGAATAGAAAACAGATTCAAAACTAATGAAACGGCCAGAGAAAAAGCTTTAAGACATGAATTATCACATGATTATTTACATAGAAAAATCTGGCATGGGACAGCAAATCTTATTAGAATTGCAAACTGAAGTGTAACAAAACCAAGCTATCGGATGCAGAAATTAAGCAAAATTCCATCTTTAAATAAAATGCTATTTCTAAACAGTAGGTGGAACTGATCACTGTAGCAGGATTTGAAAGGAATTAATTCAAGTCCCTTGAAATCAGAGCCATTAAAATAAGATTTTAAAAACAAATGTTTTGTTCCTTTTCTCAAAGGAAAATTCTACAGTCTGTATAGGCAAATAGAATAGATTAGCCTAGTGGTTCTTTCTGGATTCTGATACATAAAATGCAAGAAGATACATTATCTAGATATATAAAAAAAAAAAGTTACTTTAATATATTTCATCTAGCCAGAGAAACCTTCCTTTCCTTTATGTTTCTGTAAGAAAAAAATGCTGAAAGTAGGATGGTAAGATTTCAGATTTACCAGGCAAGGCAGAAAGACAGCAGGGGAAGGGAATGATTTCTGCTTATTCCACAGCCGGCTCCAATTCAAAGGGAAACCAGGAGATGTACTAGCAAGAGCTACAATTCCATTTCTGTGCCACAGTACAATGTGGTGCTCTGCCCTGCGGGATTCAACAGCGGCTCATGGAAGCTGATGTTAAAGGTAATAAATTGAAGGCAAAGAGTACTTGCAGTTTCCTTGAAACTTGGACAAAATATCTCTTTATGTGTTGGAAAAAAATTAGTTATACCCCTCAAAAGACTCACTGTTTTTCCAGCTAAACTACTTAAATAATTATATGCAAACTGTGGGACAAGTGCATTGTTTCATCAAAACTTGTTCACTCAGGTGTCCTTCCAGTATACTCCACCCTGATCCTAACAAGAGTCAGGACATATTAAGAGTATGCACCCAGGCACACTGTATTCTTTTTATGCTCATTTGTACTCTTATTTTTTTTAATTTGACTGCAGTGATTGAATGCTCCATTTTTAAAACCTGGCTCTGTAGAATTCTTCTGCTACAGTATAACGCTAATATATTCAACCCACATATGTCACAACCTACTCTTTTTCAAACCCCACTGTTAAGTCTTCAAAATAATAACGCCGCTTAAATTCAAAAGGTTACAATTTTGCTTTCATTAATGTTTTTAAATTACTAACACCTATCCAGCCATGCAGGCAATTAAAATTCAGTCTGCTAACCACAGTACATTGTAGGAAGTTATCTTCACCATTCCATGAGAAATCGCCGCAGCTGACAAATACACATTTTCCCACAAAATAGTCAATCAGACCATATTTGTGAGGTACTTACTTGTGTAAGTGAGCTGAAATCCTTGGTCTGTATCAGATCCATTGGTATTAAACTCTATCCACAAATGGTTAGAGGTGCTATTAAGGATAACTCCCATCATGTCGGCTTTGGTGAAGGCTCCCAGAGAGCGTGAAGAACTGTCTTTTCCATCATATACCTTGTAGAAACAAAATAATAGTATGAAACTGGACATAAAATCTAAACATTTGAAAAACATTAGTTTACCTTTATACAATACTTCAAAAGTTAGCTATGTATTGCCAATATTTTCTCCAAAAAGTTAATGTTTCCATTTTGTGAGGTACATATCATGTGGTTATGCAGTTCAGTGAAATATAAAATACTGTCACCCTTAAGGTGTTTTACAGTCTTTCTTCCTTTTCAGTTTTGTGAGCTCATCTTGCATGAAATTCAGATTTGTGCATGGCACTATCTTCTGAGGTTTCATAAACTGAGATTATTTTTCGCAATTATTCACAAAGGCTCACAGAAGTATAATCTCTGAAATCACCATTGAAATAAGGCTGTAAGAGGTAAATCCCATTCTACTCTGTTCTCTGTTGTTTGGAGATATCAGCAGCAGAACCGAGGTATTAAAGTCAATCTGTCACCTTTTATTTCAGACCCTGAGCCTGCAGTACGTTTTTGTTGTACTACAGGTTTCAACGAAGTAGGGTAGGTCTTCAAAAAGATATACAAATCTGTTTCCAAACCAAGTATAGAGATGTCCTTATTTACCATGTTACTTTATAGAAATCTTTCAATGAAGGACAAAATAAACAATATTAATTCCTGCAGTTTTTCAAATCCCAGAAGGAATAAGCAAGTCCTTTTGATTGTTTGTCAGTGCAGGACAAGTACAAGGAGTTAATATTGGCTAGGGTGTGAAAAATTATTTTTGCTTATTGCAAAACTTTGAAAGCCATAAAGTGCCAAAATAGTCTTCTGTGTTTTATTTTGCCTTAAGATTAATTTTAAAAAGCTAATTTCTTCTTTAAAGTAAAAAAATCTCCAGTACTTTCTCAAGGAAAAATAGGCAGGTACGGAGTGTGTTTCATACTCACAAAACATATACCATACATAATGGTTATACAAAAGCAAGTAGTGAATCTGAATGGCTGGTTTCTAATATGAAGTAAAAGACAATTCACCCTGATCTCATATGTCCTAGAGTGACTGTAGATAACTAGCGCAAAAGCTACAATTACAGTAAATATCTTAAGATCTGGATCTTGATCTCTGTATTCTGGGACCTTGTGGTACAGTGAGGATTTATACTGATTCCAGCCAGAAGCAGGCAGTGGCCCATTTAACAAGATAAACTGCCACACTGGAGTCACAGACAGGTCTTCCTACTTGAATGTCCAGTTAGATCTACTAATGAAATTTGGAAATGCATCTTTTGAGAGGACAGGCCATGGCAACTACAGTTATGGATGATGGCCAGCAGTTAAAAGCAGAGCTATTTTCTCAGTGGAGAAAATACCAGCATACCATCAATATAGGTGAATGTCTTGAAAGTACCTAATTCATCTCAAGTGCTGACATTAACAAAATAAAATAATAAAAACCATGTGCTTAAAGATTTTTTAAGATAAAAGCATAAGTTTAGTTTAATAAACATATATAGATATAAATAATGACCTTCCCTAAAAGGAGCTTTTAAAAATTAATATAGTATGCTAGCCATTGACAGAACAATACATTCTGTCCTTATTACTAAGGCAGATTGTCTTGTATCAGGGAACATAGATGAGCTATCAGAAGACACAATCAATTGTATTTAAGATTCATGCAAGCAGTAATGTCTACATCTTGGCAGAAATATGACTTTAAGCTGTGCTAAGTGTATCTGAAAAAATGCCTCCAAGTTTTTACCGTTGTCCTGGACCAGAACTACAGATCACTTTTACAGACTGCTTACACTTTATTTATCAGAGCTGAAAAACTATTGTATAAAAAATACAAGCATTCATTCACAATAAGATTTCTTTTTTATATAACATTTTGATCACTCACATTATGCAAAAAGTACAGACATATTTTACTTGGTTTGAGAGATATTACTTTGAATGGAATGATCTGCTTTTGATTGTCATTAACAAAACATACTGTCTATGTTAAAACAAAAGTGATTTTTAGTCATCTTTAAAAGAAAAAAATTACAGCTAATTACTATAATTGTCCCTTAGACACCCTGTTCCAACAGTGTTCTACTTCACCAACTGTTACAGATATTCTTCATACCCGAGAATCAGCAAATTAAATAACAGTATCCCTCAAGATGAACCCAGACACAAATGAAAACATTGTTTTATGAAATAAAAACGAGATGAGAGGGGCCATGTGAAAGCAGCTGTAAAAAATGCCATGACAATTTTTAGCTGGTCACACTTGTCCAGCTGCTGTTAACATTGCAGACGTAACTAGGTACTTGTCTGCTCCAGTAACTGAAACCGCATTAGTGAACAAATATAAGCATTGAATCTCCATTGTTTATACTGATAACTTGTTCAAACCATCCCTGTGAAAGAAAAAGCATTTTCTCTAATAATTTTTGGTCATGGTTTGGTAAGTAGTGTGGGTCAAGGACCACTCCCAACAGGCAGCTTTTGTGCAACCATTGTGTTCTGTCATATGTGACTGTCTCCAGAACCAGAGAACACATTTAATACACTAGTCTAGATATTCTAACTATTAACATATATATAGTGTGTATGTTTAACTGATTTCAGAAAACCCATTTGAAATACAATTCACATGCTACAATTACTAAGCACTATTTTCTCTCATATGAAGAAATAAGGAAGGTCTATTTGGCCAAATAGATGAAAGACAAGAAATTTCATTCTGGTTTTCCTTACCTCTAACAAATTCATGGTGATTGCATTACAAAGGTTTCACCATAAGTAGCCACTTCAAAGAATTATGAAATTTCAAGCAGCAGTTAAAGCAGGGAGATCAGGAAGCTGAAGTGTTAGTGAATGAGAAAGGATAAGCTTTAAAATAAACAGTTTTGCCATATGCCTCAAAATGGTGATTCTGCTTCTATTTCTTTACTTGAGTTCAGATTTCTTTCCCGCTAATTCAAGTTCAAGCTTTGCCACAGCTATAGAAAGCTTTGCCCATGACTTTTAGTCATTAACCTACGCGCGTTGTCCTTGAAATCATTAGTTTTGACTTTTCCTCATGCACACAGCCTAAATGATATCAGAAATACCCTTGTAAATTAATTGTAATTCTCTATGCACCACAACCTTACTATTGCTACTTGTGCCAACAGTAAGCCTAGTTGAATTTGCACAGCTGAAGGTGGTTTATACTTTCAAAGCAAGTAAACTGTGCCAGAGCAGGAGTCCAGTCACCACGACTAGATTTCCCATACAGTATTTAATGTCAGTACATCCTTGGCACATATTTAATACAGAGCTACTAACAGCCTCACAAATCTTTCCTGATAACGCATTAGGCCAGGAGCTGTGTAGGCCAGGGACTGTTTCTGAGAGACAGTTTGAGTGAGCCACCTTGTTTTGTAAGGTTAGAGAGTCTGACATTATGGATGCAGCCAACCTGCAGAAGCTGGCCTCGGGGGCAGCAGTGAGTGATCTTCGTGTTGTTTGGAGCACTAGGATGAATGGAGCCAGAGCGTTCTGGGATGCCCCATTTCACTCAAACGTTTGTGAGGAACTGAAAGGAAAGCACTTTCTCTGCTGCTGGGATTAAAATAAGTAGGCAAGAGAAGAGGGCAGTGCTACAACTATTCATGAGGTGAAATGCTCTAGTAACAGTGCTAATGTATCCGCACCCGCTGTGAGAAAGTAAAAACCGACACTCACCCGAAGGAGAAGGAAATGTTGGCTAGATTTTCTTAAACTCCAGTTTCTCATTCTGACAGTAAAAAGAAACTACTTGCAACTGAACTTTGCAATTTTCCTTAATTGCAGAGATCTTTATGGCATAAAATCATCCCAAAAGGGAAATGCTTTTAAAAGTGTGCTTTGACAGTTTGAGAGATAATTCCTGTATAGATTGCTGACACTGTTATGCATCTTCCTATATATATTTTCATTACATCCTCGTGGAATTCTTCGTCATCCTACCTCAAACAGTGAGATTATATACTTCGTAAGACATTTGTGGTGGGTTGACTTTGGCATTATCAGGATTGTGTCTCACGCTTTTTTACTCACTTGTCTTTCTCACACACTACTGCACAGCATTTTTGTCCCTTTCTTCACTCCGCTTTCCCTGAGGCCTCCCCACCATGGCTGCGGGGCTCAGCCGTGCCCTGCGCGGGGTCAGTCGGGGCCGGCTGGAACCGGCTGTGTCTGGCCCGGGGCAGCCCCGGCCTCTCCTCCCCTCACAGGGCCACCCTGCAGTCCCCGCCAGCACCTGGGTGCCTGCACCCAATGTAACATTGCATATACACAAATTTTCTTGAAAAACAAAGATATTCAGGTGGGAAAATGCCCTATATTTCAGCACAAGGTTTATAAATATTCTTAAGCCTTAGTGCATCCCTCGCAAGCTGCCTGCAAGTCAGTCTTGGGGCTTTCTCCTGTGCAGATAAAAGATAGAAGGCTCTTTTTTTATAATATATTTTGCTCATATTTAGGGTACAGACAGGAAAGAAAGCAAACTTCAGAAGTCCACAGCCCTGCCAGAGCTGTGGGAAATGTAAGACTTTGGAGAGTGTCTTAATTTCCCAATTGCTCATATTGTAGATCCAGTCAGAATACATGAAAATTTATTTCTGTCTCGTATGCTCAGATCTCCTTTCCATGCAAATCAGCACAGGAATGAGAAAAAGGGAGAAGAGAGTTGACACTATATATTTGCTTAAACTAGACTATAGCTGAAGCATGCAACCACAGGCACACTGCTCTCCACCGCTGCCTGAGGAGGGGAGGTGGGGAAGCAGGTGCTGAGCTCTTCTTCCTGAGATCCAGTGATAGGACGCCTGGGAATGGTTCAAAGCTGCACCGGGGGAGGTTCAGACCTGACATTAGGGAGCTTTTCTTTACTCAGAGGGTGGCCAAACACTGGAACAGGCTTCCTAGAGAAGTGGTCAATGCCCCAAGCCTTTCAGTGTTTAAGAGGCGTTTGGAAAAAGCCTTTAAGAACATGCTTTAATTTTTGGTCAGCCTTGAATTGGTCAGGCAGTTTGATTAGATGATCATTATAGGTCACTTCCAACTGAAATATTCTATTCTATTCTATTCTATTCTATTCTATTCTATTCTATTCTATTCTATTCTATTCTATTCTATTCTATTCTATTCTATTCTATTATAGCCTGGCCTATTGCTGAATCATTTTAGGAAATAAAATAAACCCCCCCCTCAATTTAATAAACTTCATCATTTGAATATACAATTAAGTAAAATAAAATAAAATAAAATAAAATAAAATAAAATAAAATAAAATAATTAGCTGAGAATGAATTCATCCTTCTTGCTGAAAAATTAGGTACTGTAGTCTATAAGCTATTTCTCTTTTTCCTAACTGATATTAAAAAAGATAATTTATTTGAAAAAATGTAAAAATAAAATGGAAAAGGAATGCAATAGTGACCTCTAATAAATTATGGAAGAAGATAAATGTATGACCCCCCTATGAAGGAGAAGACATCACTCCAAATGTGTACAAACAGAACTGACAATTAGTCCTCAATATGATGAAGCACTGAACTACAAGTTTGTAGCAAACTGAAGAAGGTTAAAAACAAAACAGGGGACACCACTTTCCCTCTGCATATAGTACTGCCTTGTAGTATCCGTTTCTTAAGTCTTCTGTATAGTTCTAGTCTGTGCATGTGCAGAAGGGCAGAGTAGAGCTGTGGAAGCACAGACCCAGTCAATGATTTAGGAGCATCTGCCTTAGAGACTCAGTTTGGATAGGGGAAGGCTGAGCATGGATATGATTGAGGTTTAAAAAATCATGAAAGTGTTAGAGAACATCAATGTAAAACTATTCATCACACCCTGTATTGTTAGAGCAAAGGAGTACTTCATGAAACCTGATGTTCCATTAATCACTAATCATGTTGATTCCAAAGAGATGAAAGAAACTACTTATTTACACAGCACATACTGAACTTCTAGGATTTGCTGTCATAGAATAGGTTTCCAGAAGTATCAATTAATTTAAAGGACTACCAAAATTCAAAGACAACTTGGAAGAGACAGCAAAGTGTGGTCTATCTTAATAGCTGTGGATGTTGGGGGACCATAAGGGCAATGGAGCACAGACAGTGGCCAAGCTTGCTTATTTGACCTAAACAAAACCACCTATCACTATTCTCAGAGAAAGCACACTGAGCTAGATGGACCACCTGGTTCAACTCAGCAAAGTAACTGTTCTGTTTCCAAGACGACTGGCACTATTTTGGAAAATAAATACTCTATGCTAGGTTGCTGGAATGTTGTCTGCTTTCAGCTAGCAGACTTCAAATCATCAATTCAAGCTAGCAGACTTTAAATCAAAGTGTCTTTTGCGGTAAGCAGTCAGTATCACCTCATGATGCATGGCAAGACTGGAAAGAACATTTATTTCAGTCTAGAAGAATATCTCCTATAGATCAACTAAAGAAATCAGAAGCTGCATGGACAAGTTTGTTAAACCTGAATACTAGATAAACTTTAACCACTAGTATAAAAAAAACTTGGACACAATCCCAAACATTAACATTCAGCTGTACACTCTGTTCAATCTCCGGCACATTTTCAGTCCAGATTTTGGCCTGCTTCTTTTGGCACTCTTCCAGATGATGCCTGCATAAGTTTAGGGGCTAGGTAAAGGGCTGATTCCAATGGAAATATGTACAAGGACATCATGGCATGGGAGCAGAGAGGAAATAGACTTTATTTATGCAGAGGCTATGGGGAAGAGAGTTTAATTGTATAAATGGAAGATGTGCTGTGTCAGTTGCCTCAGAACCAGAGAACAGGCCTTACAGTACAAACAACAGCACAATCTTGCCTTTGCCTGGATCCTTAGGAGTATTGCTGGATCCTCAGGAGAACTGTGCTAACAGATCTCTGAAAGAAGAAAGTATCGAACAGATTGCTCAGAACAGCTTTCTCTCAGGCAAATCTTTCTTATATCTCCAGGGAATATCTCAAGTATGCTTGACATTACTTATGAAATGTTCTGAAGGACAATGGAGTTTCTTGAATGTTTGTTTATGGTTTTCTAAGGTTTTTTCTGTTCACGTAATTTATTAAATTATTTATAAACTTGGTATCTGCAAAGCTTCTGGGACACTTATGTACCATATTGAAGCAGCTCAGTGGGCAATTATGTTATCCTTGTCTTCTGCATCTGTTCAGAGCAAAAATACCTTCACGGATCTACACTTTCAGACCATGGAAGATGGGAGCAAAGGCCAATATAGACCACATGTTTTGCCCACCTCTTAGATCCAAAAGGAAAACCTTAGGCCAAGGTCTTGCAGTGTTTCATACACAGTGGCCACACAAGCATGGAGGCATTTATTATCAATGATTTTGTGGGTAAAGATGGAGAAAATGCTTTTGTTTTGACTATAACTTTCTAGTATTATTGGGGATTCTTAAAGTTTTGCTTATTTCATGGTCTAATCCAGTCTGTACTTGCTAAAAAGAACACGTAAAATAACAAAGATATTAATGTCTATATTAATAACAATAAAGACAATACTTAAATGGAAATCTTTTTTTTTTTTTTCTCTCTCTACTTCAACATGTCTCTAACTGCCTTGTACTTTGCAGGAGATGTCTAACTTCACATTGAATTGTCACACTTTTTTACATAAGGATTTTTTTAAGATGACAAAATGTATAAAAATATGGCCACCATAATTTGATCCATAACAATGATATCTTTAAACTCCTGATGGAAAGCATTCAGTGCAAATGAAAATAGTAAAATCAAGTTAGAAATGAAGACAGCAGTTTCTAACATGTTAAATGGGTTGCTGTGAGATTCCCAGAAAGCAAGTTGCTAACTTAATTCTGAATACTTGGTGATTTGAAGTATCAATTAGCTCTGAATATTTAGAGACATAATTTTGAAAGAGCAACTTAATGTATGCTCAACACTTCAGAAGAATTACATGATTTTTATTACATTCAAGAATGCAGCAGCCTTTACTAAGAAAAGACAGATTATGATCATGTTGTAGAAAAATACATTACACGTTCAAAGTCTATGTATATTTAGGCTGTGTTTCAAAGGCTACCTACAATGTAAAAGAATGAAAACCACCTTCTGTAATTACAGTTTCAGTTAATGTTACTATCCTACATATTAACTAGCTTCTATCTATTTGAATGAGCAAATTAATTAATTTGAAAAAAAGCCCAGTTCTGTCCAAGACAAATAAAATAATGAAATTAAAATGTACCAAAAATGTTCCAAAATTAAACCCTGACCTTTGGTAAGTAATCATCACGCTACACTTATAAATATTGATGAAAACAGAAAATAATAGTATTCAGTACCTGAGTTTACGTATTAGATTTTCTTTTTAGATTTTAACCCATTGTAAATAGCCTAATACTTCTACAAATGCAAATGAACTCTTAATGTTTTCTATAGTTTCTTGAGATCTAATATAAATAATTGAATCCAGTATAAAGAAACTGATGCTATCCACATGGAATTTATTCATCTTGTGTGAGAAAATGAAAATAAAAATAATAATTGGTATTAAAAGAGTTGTTCATACAATGTAAATGTTGAGCATGGTAGAAAGTGAAATTATTTTCTTTTTACCTTAACAATATCTCCCTCACGCAGCTGAAAGCTCCTGGCTCTAAGATGAATCCCTTTTCCAGCCTCTGTTTCAATTTTATAGATACATTCATGGTTGTTGTCATAATTAGATGGAAAATTTGGAGACAGCAAAGTTCCTTCATTTCCAGATACAGTTGCTCCACATTCAGCTAAAGAAAACAGACACATTTAAAAAAAAAAAAGTGAATTATCCATTTCAAGAAAATATGGGTTATTTGCAGTAATATTCGGACTCTATAAAAACTCTAACAGGCTATCTAGGAAAAGTATATTTCTGTCAGATTTCATCTGTAGGACCAACTCCTAGAAGCTCTACCAAAGTTGCTCTCCCCTGCATTTCACTGCATATGTTTATTATATGCACTTATGTGCTTTTATGTAATTCCCTTTACCTCCAAATTATCCCTTGGTTCCCCCCTCAGAGTAACATATAACCAGATTAGCTGGATCCATAAACATTGGATGTTTTGCTGAAATATAGCTATTGTCATAACATTTCAAATAAATGTGATTTTATTTCCCTATTCAGCTTTGCTAATAAGTATTAAAAAAGCAGACAATAAGCTGCTGCGACAAAAGAATCTGGCAATAAATCAAGAGCCTTCAAACATGTTTTTCTCCACCAGGAATAAAAACAATAAACTAAAAAACAAACCAACATTTATTGACATCAGTCAGGGCCAAGCAGTCAGCTCCCTTCTTTTCCAAGTAAGGAGTAGGTGAGACTTTTTCACAGCCATCTGTTGAATGCTTAAAATGTTAAATGCTTAAAAATGGCCTAAAAACACATTATAAAATCCCACAGTAACATACTAGCAATAATCCACAATTCTTTTCTTTAAAGTGGATGAGATTATTATCTATATCTCATTTTTCAGTTCTAAAAATAAAATAGTCTGTGTTAAATACAGATTTTTACCTAAACTTCGTTCAGACCTCATTCAGAGTTTGCTAAAAACCAGTTACAACAGTTAAAAAAATAATAAATTAATATATAATTTTAAATCAACAGATATACTTTATCAAAGATGTGATAGGTTTAAAAAAAATCTGTGTTCCTTCTGTATATGATAAATAGATTTCTAGGGTTCATAGGACATTAAAATATTCACTTTTGGAAATGTATGGGGTTCACAATGTCAGAAAAAATTTGGTATAGATTAACAAGTATATATGTAATATGGATTTATTTTGAAAATATAACGTAAAGATAGTCCAGAAAGCTATACCAGAAAATAATTAAACATATTCAGGGAGAAATGTATGTTTCGTATTTACAAATAAAAAATGTAAAAAATTTGTATTTATATTTCTGCGGCCTTCACAGACATCATCAAACATAGATGCTTCTTGCTCTTGGAAAGTCTAAAGCCAGTGAAATTTTCTGTATTTTAGACTTCCTCTCTACAATAAAACTGAAGAAGAAAAGGGAGAAAGAAGGAGAAGGAGAGGGGGCAGGAAGGGATGGAGTGAAGTGGGGAAGAGAGAAGGGAAGAATGAAGGGGGGAAAAAAGGAAGGGAGGAGCGAGATAGTCATAGTCTTACTCAGAGCTTTATTTCTGCTCTACATTTGGGATCTCCTAGGCTAAATGAAGAAGGACATCACCAATAAACTGGCTCAGTATCTTTGATTTAGCACACAAGTTAGAGTTCATTTGCTTTTCTAAAGTAGACCTTTATGTTCTCCCCTTCTTTAGCTTACTTAGGCCTGAGATGCATTATGTTTAATAGGCAAAAGAGTGTTGGGGAATAAGAACCCCTGTCACTAAACTTCAGACAGCTGAACTTTTTCTTTGCTGGGGAGTGTGGGATGCACCAGATATTTCTCACATGTTTGAAGTCAGTTTACTTTGTCTAAACATTTCAAAGAAATATAGCAGACTGACAAATGAACTAGATTTTTATTTTTATAGTTCTTTGGTAAAAGATCTGTCAAATATGTGATGCACACTACATATGGCTACATATACATATCTCCATATATTTGCGTGTACATGTTAATTTGTAGCTATTTTTGTCTTTGATTTTTAGGAAGAAGGTGGAACCAATTAAGTTTATAAAAAGTAATTCAAAGCAATGACAAGGTTAATGCCAGACATGTTTACAACACCAGTACTCTACACAAGCCTTCTGCAAACAAGTGTTTGCCCAAGTAAAGATCCATGCGAAAATATCTATGTTCCCTTAGGCTGCATTGGTATCTTACTATCTACTTTCTTCAAAGAACTGGAAGATATAGAAGTACCATGCTGAAGAGATGAAAATAAGAAAACACTATGGAAGCAAGGTTTTTTTTTCTTACATCACGTTCATACAGTTTTCTATATTTTGTTTCAGTGATTGGCTGTAAAACACTAAGACATATGCAGTAACAGAAAAAGTGTACACTGAGCTTTCCTTAACCTAGAACTGGCCAAACGTGCAAAACTTCAAAACCATGACAATTTAAACCTGTAAATAAAAGCACTGACATATAAGATCAGGGATAATAAGGGTTACAAACTAAAGTTAATATACTACTTCCCTTTTAAAGTATACCACATTCTGCAAGAAGCAGACATGCTTTCTGCTATGAACAATTGGCTACTTATTAAAATTCAATTACACTGCAAAATTCTTCAGACTCAAGTTGGCACTCATATACCTCCAACCCATGCTACACAACCCTATTCTCTATCCTTGCAAATATTTGACAGCTATGCAGGTTCATCAGGCCATATCATTCCCTTTGTTATCATGACAAAGGGTTGCTCATGTTCTGTGACCAGTCAAGTTTCATAGCTCATCTCATATCAGTCAGTAAATCACTGACACAGCCCCCAGAAAGAGGTTTTCAAAGTAAATCAACCCCTTCTTTATCAACTTCCCTCCCTCAATACGAAAATTATACAAAATACGTCACAATTCAGGCTACGATTTTCTTGCCATATTTTGCTAATGTTAGGACATCAACTTACAGCCATGTTTAATTAGCTCCCCCAATTTCTTGTCCTGGAGATACAGGTGATTTTTTTTTCAGAGAAACATTGGCCCCATCCTTGGAAAGATTCTTTTTTCTCGAGACCAATGGAGTTTTTGGAGTTCTGGTGTCCTAAAGCCTGAAATCTCTTTCATTTGTGATCAATACCCAGATATATAAAGGACTTCATGCTCTAAGGACTTCAGCGGAGTATTTTTCTAACTGTTCCTGCACACTGCAATCCAGAACCTCATCAGCTCCCTACACATAATGAGGGACTAAAAATTCAAGAGAGCAGCCATGAACAGCAATACTGAGTCTGGTCTTGTCAGCAAGCAAAGCTTATGCAGTCAAAGGCATCTCTCTCCTTCAAGGCACTGATATTTTACTCAGCAGTATAGGAAACGTCATGTTTTTTTCTTTAAAAATATCTACAGTAGCTGATCACAGAATCACAGAATCACAGAATAGTAGGGGTTGGAAGGGACCTCTGTGGGTCATCTAGTCCAACCCCCCTGCCGAAGCAGGGTCACCTACAGTAGGCTGCACAGGATCTTGTCCAGGCGGGTCTTGAATATCTCCAGAGAAGGAGACTCCACAACCTCCCTGGGCAGCCTGTTCCAGTGCTCCGTCACCCTCAGAGGGAAGAAGTTCCTCCTCATGTTCAGACGGAACTTCCTGTGCCTCAGTTTGTGCCCATTGCCCCTTGTCCTGTCACTGGGCACCACTGAAAAGAGCTTGGCCCCATCCTCCTGACACCCACCCTTCAGATATTTGTAGGCATTTATAAGGTCCCCTCGCAGCCTTCTCTTCTTCAGGCTGAACAAGCCCAGTTCCCTCAACCTCTCCTCGTAGTGGAGATGCTCCAGTCCCCTCACCATCCTTGTAGCCCTCCGCTGGACTCTCTCCAGTAGCTCTTCATCCTTCTTGAACTGGGGAGCCCAGAACTGGACACAGTACTCCAGATGAGGCCTCACCAGGGCAGTGTAGAGGGGAAGGAGAACCTCCCTTGTCCTGCTGGCCACACTCTTCTTGATGCACCCCAGGATCCCATTGGCCTTCTTGGCAGCCAGGGCACACTGCTGGCTCATAGTTAACCTGTCGTCCACCAGGACACCCAGGTCCCTCTCTGCTCTCCAGCAGGTCCACCCCAAGCCTGTACTGGTGCATGAGGTTGTTCCTCCCCAGGTGCAGGACCCTGCACTTGCCCTTGTTGAACCTCATCAGGTTCCTCTCTGCCCAGCTTTCCAGCCTATCCAGGTCACGCTGAATGGCAGCACAGCCTTCTGGTGTATCTACCACACCTCCCAGTTTGGTGTCGTCAGCAAACTTGCTGAGGGTACATTCTAACTCTTCATCCAGGTCGTTGATGAAGAAGTTAAACAAGACTGGGCCCAGTACTGACCCCTGAGGGACACCACTTGTCACCAGCCTCCAACTAGACTCAGCGCCGCTGATGACAACCCTCTGAGTTCTGCCATTCAGCCAGTTCTCTATCCACTTCACCGACCACTCATCCAGCCCACACTTCCTCAGCTTCCCCAGGAGGATATCATGGGAGACTGTGTCGAAAGCCTTGCTGAAGTCAAGGTAGATAACATCCACAGCTCTCCCTTCGTCTACCCAGCCAGTCATGTCATCGTAGAAAGCTATCAGATTGGTCAGGCATGATTTCCCTTTGGTGAATCCATGCTGACTACTCCTGATAACCTTCTTTTCTTCCACTTGCTTGATGATGGCCTCCAGGATAAGCTGCTCCATCACCTTTCCCGGGATGGAGGTGAGGCTGACCGGCCTGTAGTTCCCTGGGTCCTCCTTCTTGCCCTTTTTGAAGATTGGAGTGACATTGGCCTTTCTCCAGTCCTCGGGCACCTCTCCTGTCCTCCAGGACCTCTCAAAGATGATGGAGAGTGGCTCAGCAATGACATCCGCCAGCTCCCTCAGCACTCGTGGGTGCATTCCATCGGGGCCCCTGGATTTGTGGACATCCAGATCGCTTAAGCGATCCCTCACACAGTCCTCCTCGACCAAGGGAAAGTCGTCCTCTTTGTAGGCTTCTTCTCTTCCCTCCGGGGCCTGGGATTCCTGAGGGCCAGTCTTAGCACTGAAGACTGAAGCAAAGAAGGCATTCATTAGCTCTGCCTTCTCCGCATCCTCCGTCACCAGGACACCCGCCTCATTCAGCAGCGG